CTTATGCTATATACCTTTTGACGATAGCGAAACTCAAGATTTTATCGTGCGAGTCTCGTCTTCCTGCATGATATCAACATTAGTTACATTACTGTCCGCGCGCAAAACAAAAATTGCCTCCATTCTAACCAATATGTAAATTCCATTAGACAATACACTTCTCTTAACGTGTAGTCTGTTCTCTTTGTCTATTGTTTTCTCTTCCTATGAGGCTCTTGTTGAGTAATGAGTCTCTAAATTTTGTTGGCTGCTAACAAACAGTTTTCTGTAAATAAATTGTTTTCAATTATATAGTAACCTTTAAACCAAAAAACAATACTAATACAAAGCTCTGAATGTACGCCAGATATTTCATATGATCCTGGTGGGGAAGGCAAATGCGGGACCGACGATCTATATCGATCGCAATGCATTTTAATCATAGTTTTAATTATGATTATTAGCAAAACATTAACTAATACTGTAATACGAGAATCTGATGAGGAATTGATCTGGCCAAGTACACAATATTATCTCGTAAGAATTTCAGGCAGCGGAATATACGGTTGCACCACATGCTAATATGTCCACGTAAATTTTATTTTAAACATGTAATAACGTTGTTTTGATTAGGATGCGCTCACTTATAATTTATAAACTATATTTACTTATTTTAAATGCCAAATGAAGCTTCAAGAATTCAAGCCGGAGTAAAGTATTGGACAAGATTTTATTGTTATTCATAACAAATGTAATGTATCGTATTAGTAATTTTGTAATGGTTCCAACTTAAATTTGTTTGGGTTCAGAGCAAGAGATAGCTGCAGTTGGAGAGATATAGCAACCAATCTTATTGGCTGTGTGTGTTCGCTCTTTTGTTACCAATAGATTTGTTGACAACGTTGAAAATGTGTTGATTTTATTCATTTTTAATCAGATATATAAAAATCGTGACGTATATCAGTAAAATTTATATTAGTTCTGTTTCTAAACAGTTTTCTTGAAACTACTTAGAAAGTTAAGCTTGTTTGATAGAAATTATCTATAGTGTGTGACACAAAACCAGTGATCAAATCTTGCGAATTTCTAAAAAAAAAAAAAAAAACTATGAACGAATAGTAGAGAAGAAATATGAGAGGCTACTGACAACAACAGTAATAAAAAAAAAAACATGAACACTTCACTACGACGAAAAGAGTTGTCACAATCCGACGAAGTTGTTGCCAGAGTATCACGATTTACGAATCATTTAATTTAATAAGCACGTATTAAATAATCAAATTTTCGCTTTACAGAAAAATGGAATCACAATTTACATATTAGATGAGAACTTTAGAAGAGTGTGCATCTGAATACATACGACAACCAAAAACCTGCAACGTGTTGCGCGAAAGTAAAATTGTTTTATAGAGTATAAATTACTTATTTTTTTTTTAATACAATTAAGTCTGCATTCGGCTAATTATTAAATCGTACGTCTTAATACAGGTTGTAGAGAAATCTGTTGATCTGCCGTATTTGGTGATAACATACTAAAAAATAATATTTATAATGCCCTAGGTCTTCACAAGTTGGAGTTTAGAAAACTAAAATGTTTCAATATTTATATCATAAGGAAAAATTTATAAGAGCGCTGTCGAAGGCCACATAATTGATAATTGTCCTCCGGTCAAAATTAATATAATAAAAATATAAACTATAATGAGTGTGCGTGCATACTCCTATCATTTCAGTAATCAGTATATATGTTAAAGTAAAAAATAATTAAATTGCCTTATTATACTCTTTTTGAAAAAGTTGACCATTGATTGAGCTTCATTTTTCTTTATATATTTTATAGGTTTTGCATTATATAAATTATATATTTTCAAATCAAAATTTATGCTAAAATTTAAAGAAGTTCTCTTCAAACAAAAAAACAAAATAGAGTACAAAATGATACTCCATCTATTTCAAATTAACTATCATTTTGGAAAAATATATTTGCAATTATCTAGATGTATTTTATCTTAAAATACATTTAAATACATATAAATAATTACATATATATTTTTCCAAAACGACAACAAATTTGAAACAAAGAGAGTATATGCTATGTACATTTATAAAGAAACCTATACTATTAGTATTACTAAGTAAAGAAGAAAATAATACCAACTCAAAGCAAAGATCCCGGAAGTACATTGAACAATGAATAAAAGCCAATTCTAAGAAAGAAGTGGACTCCTACCATAAATTAAAAATACTCAAAGGGAGAAATGTCTTAAAATATAGCAACAGCGATTAATCAAATAACAAAACAAGAATAATGGGTTACTCTATGTATATTAGACATAAAAAGCACGTTAGAATCGATACAGTATGAAATTAACTACCATAGAAGGTATAGAAAACAAAAAAAAATACAATGCCTAGCTAGTCTACGTTTTTTATCAAAAAAAAAAAAGCTAGTCTACGTATATAGCTATATATACACTGAAAGATAACTGTAAATAGTCACAATATTTGCAGAGAGACGAGAATTACATAATATAACAAAATGTGCAGAGAAAATTACATAGCACCTGTCTTAATAGTTAATACAACTGAAAATGGAGTTTCAAACAAATATTTAACAAAATGGAAACAATATATTATCATGTTTAGATTTATGTCTGCTTCTGATTAACTAAATATGCATGTTAATTCTGCAGAGAATTTAGTATAAAAGGTAACCTTTGTATATATATTAATCAGTTTGGTGTTGATAAAATGAATTGAAAACAAAAGATTAAAAAGAAAAAAAGGATACCAATAATAAGGTAAATGATTCGGAGGATGACATGAAAAAACAAGCCCATTGGAAAATTGTAAGCAGTGTTTTTGGGTAAGTACCTGAGAGACAATAGAAGAGAAGCTTGTGAAGTCACATGGACTCTTCAGGACGTATGCAAATGGCTTCTCCTCTTATTTTCTTTTACCTTTTTTTCTAAATATACTTCACTTTAAACGTCCTCAGCAACAAACACAAAAGCGAAAAAAAAGAAAAAAGAAAAATTCATATGATCAATACAAAATAAATATCATTCGTGACAAAAAATCTAGAATGTCAAGGCCAGTTTCAGAAAGAAAAAAAAAACATCTAGAATGTTAATGATGCTGATTGAAAAAGAGAGAAAGTTTAATGATCGAACATATTTTTAGATAAAAGATGGTAATTATTAATTACAACCAATAAACTATTAGTTAATTACTTGTTTTGATGATATATAAGTACTCCTTTGTATATAACGTTAGGTACACGTATTCAAGCACAGCTTAAATTTTATTTCAAGTGCATCCAATAAGATTTTGTATCATCATGAAATTTTGGCCTGAAGTTTTATGTTCACATTAGATTTATTTTTTTGGCAGATTGTTTCAGATTTTAAGATCCCAAGTGTCCCGACCAATTTGATTACAAAACACAGCCCTAGTCACATCTATCTAATTCTTCAACTTTTTAGAATATTAATATTAAATTATAATTATTATATTTTCCCAGAGTGATTAGATCAGAAAAATCAAAAGATGCCACCTAATTTTAAATACGTACCAAAATTTACATACCTGGGTTATCATCCTACATGTCAAGTGGAAAATCTCAATATGAAGTCATTTTTAATAGCATCGTGAAACAAATTTGTTAAACCTGACCCTAAGGCGATTTCCACCGGCCAAAATAAATCTTCTTTTGGTTGTTCATTTATATTATCTGATATACTTTTGTAATTCTGATTTTCTAAGTTTAATCGAATAGTAAGCCATTACTTTATATGAAATACATTATTTTGTTGAAGTAAAATCGAGCATGAGCGTAAGTAAACGACCCAAATGCAAACAGAATCTCTTCTTTGATCTTGTGGACCGGTCTACTATCACACGTGCGACTTGTTCGCTGTATGCATGGATGTATCTTTATCACTCTATGTATCGCAAACAAAAATAAAAAATAAAAATAAAAAATAGTAACTAGTAACTATAGATTAAGCTGATTAATGGATTTAATAGACGGATTTGGACGGATAATATATCAAGATTTTTCTGGAAGAAGTTTAGACCGACAAGTTCTACATTATATACGCGAAAAAGAAAACTAAAGATTAATTAACTTACGAATTAGCTAGAAAAGGTGAACATTCAATAAAATTAAATTAACATAAGCTTAATACAAACTACTTAGTAGAATGCCTTTTTTTTTCTTTGCTAAAAAAGAATGCTTTTATTTTGTCCAAATGGAAAACAACTTTTCGTCTTTTCTAATTAAAAAGCTAGACACTTACTTCTAGAGTGACAATATCAATAAATAAATAAATCCCCAATTTCTTATAGTTGGAAAAAACGTTAATCCACAACATGACACATTTAACACTCCCGAACTGATGTTCCGTCATTATATTCAGAATTCTAGCTAGTTAATCGTCTCGTCTTTCACCATTTGTATAGCGTTTGCACATCTTCAGATGTAAACTACAGTTCAAAAAAAAAAAAAAAAAAAAAAAACTATTAAGAGAAATACATAAGAGGTTTTAATTGGTTATGATCACTAAAAATCACTTCCCACAATACATTTTAATTTATTCTTTAATTACATTTTAATAAGAATATTTTCTTGGGTCAACTGTTGGGACTTGGGAGGCTATAAAAAAAATTAGTAGAATCTTTATAGCCTTACAAAGCTTCTCTCCATCGACCCAAGCGCAAGTCCCACAATAAATAAACACACTACTTTGTTTGATCGTCATCCTATTTCACTCTCCATGCCGGTGATTTCTTGAGAATACTTCAATCTTAAAATCAATTTCAAAATAATCTTTGTATAATTGATTGTAAGCTTAGTTTCCTTTAGTGGGGTCTTAACCGTTTTGCCTTTATTCCCCCCCCTCGAGACAAAAAAAGAGAGCGACAAACACTTCTTGTCTTAGTTTTGTTTCCTCTCCTTCTCTCGATTTTTTAATCCCTTTTTCATCTCATTTCTCATTCCAGCAATCTTTGGCTAAAAAATGCCCTTGGGAGCTGTTGTATACCCGCCAGATCCATTTGGATACCTCTCTAATTGCAAAGATTTTACGTTCCACGACTTGTACTACCAAGATGAGATAGCTCAAGATACGAAGAACATCATTAATAAGTTTGAGCAAGAACAGAGCTTCATGGGAAACGATAAGGAGGAAGATCGTCAATGGCGAGACTATCATCAATACCCTTTGATCCCTTCGTTGGAAGAAGAGCTTGGTCTTCCAGCCAATAATATGGAGACTCCTCTGCAGCAAAGGAGGAAGAGAAGGAGAACTAGAAGCAACAAGAACAAGGAAGAGATCGAGAACCAGAGAATGACTCACATCGCCGTCGAGAGAAATCGCCGGAAACAGATGAACGAGTACCTCGCCGTACTCCGTTCTCTAATGCCATCGTCATATGCTCAAAGGGTAATTTAGTCTTTATCTTCTCACCCACATATACATATATACTAAATATATGATATCATTTGGTCATAATCTTTCATGGGTCTTTCAAATGTTTGTCCTTGTTTTACTTCCTTGGCATATATACTACTCAGTTTTTACGTATTTTGAGGTTTCTTCAAGCCAAATAATAAAATCTCATTTTCTTAGAAGTATATATTAACATTTAACAAAGAAAAAGTATGAGGATGAATTTTACCACAAAAAAAGTATGAGAATGATTGAGAATATTTGGATGTTTTTTGTATAATTTATTAAAAAATTGTATGCAAGGGTGATTTGTTTATATACATCTTTTGTAACATATATTTTAGTACTTAAAAAAAAAATTATGTGACAGATTGTTTATAAAATGCATGTGTATATGGTTAAATACATTGGGATTTTTAAATACATTTTACTAATAAATGAAAAAACAGTCATAAATTTGTTTGCACTCAATGTGAACGAGTTTATGTAATTATCTAACGTTCAAAGAACTTATTCAGTCTTTTATGAGACCACATATATACATCTGATTTGAATGGGTGTTTGTTTGGTAAAGGGAGATCAAGCATCGATAGTAGGAGGAGCCATAAACTACGTGAAGGAGTTAGAGCATATCTTACAATATATGGAACCTAGGAGAACCACGACCCCGGAAGCTGACACTAGCACTAGCTCGTTGGTGCGTCCCTTCTCAGATTTCTTCACTTTCCCCCAGTACTCTACAAAGCCATCATCATCAGTAACGGAAAGCTCATCTTCCCCGGCGGAGATAGAAGTGACGGTGGCGGAAGGCCACGCGAACATCAAGATAATGGCGAAGAAGAAGCCTAGGCAGCTTCTTAAGCTCGTAGCTTCGATACAGAGCCTAAGGCTCAGTCTTCTTCATCTCAACGCCACCACTCTCGACAACTCTATTCTCTACTCCATCAGCGTCAAGGTACGTATACATTTTCCACTTCTTGTTTTATTTCTAATTTGTTTGGTTTTGGTTACTCACGAGATTAGAGTGATTAATTGCTGAGTAGTGAGTGGTGCATATGGTTTCACTTTTTTTTCTTTTTCTTGTCTATTATACTGTTGGGGGAAAAAATGGATTAGTACTAGTTATGGTTATGTCTGGCCTTAAAAAAAGGTTGCAAAGAAAAAAATAATTCATTTCTTTGTTCTTTTCATACTTCTTTTGGTTACTTAGGGCTGGCTTCAATAGTTGTTGGGTCAAACTCAAATCATAATTTTAATTTCTTTATTTTAAAATAAATCGAGTATCATAATGCATGGTTGCTTGTAAGTATCATGGGACTAACCTACAAAATGAAACACGAATATGTGTGGATCTATATGCACGAGTTGTATACGTGGTTTTGTGTACATGCTTGGATGGTGGTTTTAGAATGGTAGATGCAATATGTACGGACAACAAAGTGAGGACCACTTGTTTCAGGAGACATTCATAAGCTCGCTTCTTAACAAAATATTTTTTTTTGACATATATACATATATATGTCAGCTTTAAGCTTTTCCAAGAATCGTTATATATTTTTTATTTTTCATTTTTCAGGTCGAGGAAGGGAGCCAACTGAACACCGTGGATGACATCGCAACAGCTTTGAATCAAATCATAAGGAGGATTGAAGAAGAGTCATAATTTAGCAAATAAATTAATTAGTTTTTTATATTTATTATTGAAATAATAGAAATACAAAATTACATCGTTTCTGTACTTATTCACTGTTTCTGTTTTATGTAAGTTGCATTTTTGTCTCCTTTTTTATGAATCAGTTGTCTTTTAGCCTCTATTTCTATGTCATAATATTAATTTATTGGACTCTTTTTATATTTGAATGTGTATTTGTTAACTGTTAAGTGACTTAGAAGTTGATAGGTAGGTGACATTAGGCGCTAGTCGCTACTACTTACTAAGTTACTAGCCATGTTATACGCCTACCAAAGGTTCTTCATTAGGGTTGTGTCACACAACTTGTGTGATAATTAAAAATAATTAACAAGTTTGTTTTCTTCAAAAAGGTGTTCATCTTTTTCTGGAACTTTGAATTTTGGTGGGTTCAACTTTTAATCACTATGTTTTTAACATTCTCCTGTGATAGTGGAGAATTTATACTTTTGGCTTTGAATGCAAAAAGATTCTATTTATCTAAAACCCGAAAAATCTAAAGTTATAAAATTATTTCTTCATAAATATCATTTAGCCGACCAAAAAAAGAACAAGTATAAACTATTCCTGGACAAATCAAACAATTTTCGCCTCGATGTATGAACCATGAAACGGACAACCCTACAAACCTACTAAACCCTTCAAAACTCAAACTAAACGATTTTCAATATACAGTTTTGTGTAGTTTAAAATTTAAACCTTAGATCTAAAGTGGATGATCATCCTCGTCTAACTCACTTATGAAAGTTTTGTGTAACTCACTTTGTCACTTTGTCACATGTGTATGCATTCCAATAAATTTCTAATATGTAATTCAACATAATAAGCTCCAGCAACAAATTCGGCCAATTTTGTTTTTTCCAGTGATATATAGCATGTGACAAAAAAAACATTGTACAAATTTACAGTGTTCATAATAACAATTCATGTTTCTGGAGGTTTTTGATATTTAGTGCAAGGACATTGGTACATAAAAATCAGCGGCCCGTGGAATTCATGGAATAAAGAGAGATGATGATCATTGTCTTATCATGAAGACCATCAAAGAAGAACATGGAACCTCTATTTCACTTTTAGGGTAAAAAAGCAAAAAAGCAGAGCTACGTTTATTTGGAAATAAAGTAAAAAGCAAAGCCTATAGATATGATTTGAACATCTTATATGAAAAGCTTTTCACTATATCCAAATAAGAAAACACCTCAAAATATAGCCGACTGTTCGCTCCAGCAGCTTTTTTATGTTTTGAGCTTAGATTCACTATCTTGCAGCTTTCTCTTTTATCTTTTTGTTAGAGGTATTCAGATTTCTTTTGTTTTATTGTATTTTCATTACTGTATTCATCCACTGTCTCTTAAGAACAAATAATGGTGGGAAAGAACTTCGAAACCTATTACTAAAAAGACAACGCACACACACACACAATTTCGACCAAGAAAAAGAAAAAGGAAGTTGATTAGAAAGCTACCATATTGTTGTTACTCCATATATACTGATATGTTTTATACGGCTAAAGTTATGATTGCATTAAATGGGCTTAGTATGGTCGTTTTAGGAAGTAAGTTAATAATAGTCAGGTATTGGGCCTTTTACATTCTGGTGGAAGTCGCAAACGAATTGTTATGTGCTTACAAACTTTATAAACAACAAGGTCTAAGATTTGTAGATTAAATTAAAAACACTTGTAGTAAACCCTAACCTTATAGGCGTGCCTCAGTTCGACGACGTCAAAGAGGTAATGTTGTTCAGAGCAACATGACTGCACTTAATAAAAATCGGCGTCGGGTCTATTTTTGATGCACATGCACGTTTAAGTCGACGGTTAACGAATGCACTCAAATTCTCAAGAGCTTGACTCTCCCACAGTCTAGGGTGGAGGACGTGTTACCTTCCGTTTATGGAACCTCGCTGGCTCGCTCCTGTAGATTAATTAACATATCATATTGCAATTTGCATTTTCATGCAGCAGTAAATAAGCCACTCAAAAAAATTGACAGCATAGTTTAATCATGATAAAATAAAAACTGAAACGAAAATCATTAGTTACAGTGTCTCGATCATATATGTTGTCACTTGTCAAAGACTAATTACCACAGAGACTACCTTTAGATTAGCTTTGATTGTAGGTTGAGTAAAACTGAAGGCTGAAGCATGTCTTTTTCAATACTTTTGTTTTCAAAAGACATTCCAAATTAATGAATTATGCATAGGTTAGTCTAATAAATAAAAACATTTGTTGACAAAAACAAAAATAAGAGATATATATGTCAGCAAAGAACCAAAGTCTAGCAAATAATGTGAGAGATCGTTCGGAATGGAAGTTGGTCCACCTACTTTTTGGTTTAGTCCATATACTTAATCATTGTGATTTGTGAAGCTGCGACGATAATCGATTACTTATACCTGATGATTCACTAAATGCCATATATGCCAATTTTCTTGCATTTTTTCTTCTTCTTTTAACCCTCGCTAATAAGTGGATTTCTGACTTTTTGAGTATAGACAAGGTATAGGAGTTTAAGAAATATTTCACTATTTCAGAAGATTTTATCATTTAACTTTTTTTTGTACCTTAAGAATTTATCATCATTTTTATATTTGCTGTTTTGTCTTGTAAAAATCAGCAAACCGAAAACAACTCATATTAAACTCTGATACCAATTTTCATTAATTAAAATTTCAAAGTACAAAGTGAAATACACGACCGGAACATATAGTTTTATTGGTTTTTGCGTCTGTAAATTGTATAGAGTACACAGAACTATTGATGTATAGTAAATCATACACAAGGAGGAAACAAAGTCATTTTCCAAAATATCCGGAACTCCAAGATATTACTCATAGGTTTTAAGTCCTTTATAAGTCGCCTATATCAACTTGAAGTCTTCAACAAAATACACAACTTCTTATTCCACGTTATATATATGCACAAGTCACACAAATCTGTAACAGCTACAAAACCCGATAACAAATAGAAAACAATACAATATGAGCACACTTCTTGGTTGCGTTGTCCTCATATTCTTCTATATGGTCGCAGCTGCCTCATCCGCCACTCTTACGGTGAACTGGTCCCTTGGCACCGACTACACTCCCCTCTCCACCGGAAAGACCTACGCCGTCGGCGATACCATCGGTGAGGACTCATCTCTTAACTCTCCCGAGATCATAATTACCTTCTATTTTTCTTTTTCTTTACATATATAAAAATTTATTGGCGTGAGATTAATCAGAAAAAACCCAAGACTAGAACCCTAACTCGGAAACTAATCTCATTTTCTTGACATGATATAAAATGGTGATAATAACACTAAGGTTTTATTTACATAAAATGAACAATGAAAACCGAAAATCAGAAGAAAAAAAAAGTAACAAACATATACCGGTTCACCATATGTACTTTCCATAGCATTGAACTGTTACAATCGTGTTAGATAGTGTTCAGCTATGGTGCGGGTCACACGGTGGACGAAGTGAGCGAAAACGACTACAAGAGTTGCACTTTAGGTAACTCTATTACCTCCGACAGCAGCGGAACCACGACCATAGCTCTCAAGACCACTGGTCCTCGCTATTTTATCTGTGGAATCCCCGGCCATTGCGCCGCCGGTATGAAGCTCGCTGTCACCGTTGCGTCGACCTCTTCAAACGATGGCACTACCACACCATCATCCCCTTTCAACGGAGGTGCTGGTTACATTCCCACGACCACACAGGCCATCCCTTGTGGTGCTTGGGCCGTGTCCTCTCCATTAGGGGCTTCAGTTGCGACTTGGGCCGTTATTTTGTATGTTTTGGCTTTGTCTTAGTTGAAATTAGTAAAAGTGTTAGTTATCTTTCAAAATTGTTGTATGCTCTTGAAACCAAATGTTTTTTTCCTAAAGATTAATCAAAGAAGTTTGGAGTGAAAGCTATATGTTAAACATCTCTTTCCCTGTACAAACCAAAATGAATTTTGACACTATAATGGTTTTGGTATTTTAAAATCTAGAAAATGATTGCCATGTGTGGATCAATATGTGAGAGGTCTTTCCGAGTATGATACTCTAAGAGCATCTCCAACCCACCATCAAATTTTCCCTCAAACACCATTTTAGTGTGAAATTCATCTCCAACCCATCCTTATAATTGACACTAAAATGAGGGAACACTATTTTTTCCCTCATTTATAGTGTAACCTTATTTCTTCCCTTATTTTGATGTTGATCTTTTTTATTTGCATATTGATCCTTCAAATTTGGTTTCTTTTATTTCTAACTTAAATAAATTATAAATTTCATATTTGTTTTCTATTTTTTCTTAGAATTAATCATAAACATTATTTTAGAAAAATGACATAATTTATATTATACAAATGGATTAAAATTCAGTTTTATCCATTACAAAGTAAATAATAGATAACTCTAGAAAAGTATATAAATGAGAAATTATTGAAACTTTTTTGTATCTTTAATGAAGTAATGTAAGTATATGGCATTTTTTTTTAAAAAATAAAATATGTGGGGTTAATTTGTAAAACTTATAAAATAAAAGGTTTTTGCAATAAATTTAGATTTAGAATATTCTCAGAATATTCCTTTTTAGTGTGAAAAATAAGGGAATACATTGGAGAGAAACACAACACTATTATAAGAGAACATTAAAAATGATAGAGAAAATGATGGAATACATTAGAGATGATCTAAAGCATTATCAGATGCACCCTCTCACCTAATTAGTTTGGAACACACTAGTCTCTAGTACATCTAAATAAAACGTTGTAACAACTCCAGATCTCTACACGAACCGACCCAACAACAAAATAATATCGTTTGTTGTTTTACCCGATAGATGGTGAATAATTTATTTGAGCTATTATTGTATACGTGTTAAATATATATGTAAAAACTCAATTTTCGTGATATGGGTTTATTTTGATAGTGTCGTTTAAATACTTGCTACTATTGAAGAATGACCAAATATTAACATCTTGTATGACAAGTTAATTGTCTTTTTTTCTACACTACGTTCGAATTACTATTTTATATTCAAAATAAAATATGATAAATATGAACTGGTGACCAGTTTTTTTGGCTTTTTGGAAAAGTAATACTAATAGAAAAGGGAAAAGAAAAAGAAATATCTCGGAAACATCAAATAGAGCTCACATAACCAGCTTGCAAAAGCACCTATAAATTAAACACGAACACACGAGACGGCGAGAAGAAGAAAAACAAAAAAACAAATTAGGTCACCACAACTTCAAACAATGGCTAATGTATTCCTCGTCAGTAGCAGAAACAGAAGATCAATACGAACAACATCAGATTTAAAACCCAAGAATATTACGGTGAAGAGATCCGAGTCTTCTTCTTCAGACAACAGTTACTCATGCAAGAAGCATCCGAAGCACAGACAATCTCCTGGAGTCTGTTCCCTCTGTCTGAGCGAGAGTCTCTCCAAGCTGTCTCTCGATTTCCATGATTATAGTTCAGGTATGAGCTCATCTTCTTCAAGAAACGTGGCGAAAACGGCGTCGTCTTGCTCCTCCGCTTCTTCGGAATCAGAATTAGATTACTCTTCGACGGCCATCTCTTCTTATTACTCTTCTGTCTCTTCTTGTTTGTCTCCTCTCCAACAACGTTACAGTGAGATCGTCGTTAATAATAAGAAGAAAAAGAAGCATACCAAGAAACAAAACTTCCTCTCCAGATTATTTCTGTAATTACTATTTACCACATTATTTTTGTTTTGTTTAGTTTACTCATTTTTTTCTGTTTTCTTTCACCCCGGAATTGCAGTTTACGAAGCACAAGAATAAATATTTTCATAATTTTTTGCTAAAGAAACAAACAAACAATCAACTATGTCGACTTAAAAGTGGAAACATCTATATCACAACTATGTGCTTGATTTCTTGATTACTAAGATAAACTGAAAGAGTTGCTATCAAATGTATATACTAGATCCGAATATCCAATTTGATTTGAATTTCTTGAAAATCACCTTTGTTTACATCAGTTTCTTGAATATCACTAAGAATGTGATTACGTGGCCATTTTGTGATTCGATGTGACAGAGAGAATGCAGACGAAGGCTGTGATTGGTTGGCACATATGACATTACCAGCTGTCAAAGAGAGAGTTAATGTACGGCGAGAGGACAAAGACGTGTTGTGTGCTTCATTCATTCAGGCTTGGTAATTGCACAGCTGGCCAAATTACACGAATGCAAATACAAACTTGTTTATTCCTTTGAGTAACTTAACAAATAAGTAGATGAGCTGCATAATCGTCACAATAGTAAATGGTTATTTCGTTAATTCCAAGAATTCCAGTATGTGTAAAATATTTACTTGGAACTCGCAAGGCATTTGTTTCGTTGACTACGAGGTTTGGTAAAAAATCAGTGTCTAATCAATGGAGGTGGCTAAATGTTAAAAGAGCGAGTTAGGAGGAAATGAGTGGGTTTGTACAGACGTACAAGTACAACTGAAGTAGCCAGTTCATGTGATTCGAGATCTACTGAGCCGTGTTCCACGAACATTCCTATGTCTGTCTCTCTCTCCCACGTGATGCCATGAGTCATGACTCTTATCTCCGTACCATGTCAATACAAATACACCCTATTGGCTGTTTTGTAATTGTGACTTCTTTTTAATGTTTCGTGTCCATCGAATTAGTAGAAACCTTATCATTTATCAATGATTATTTTGAAGTTACGTTTTGTGTTATATGATCTGTCAAAGTTAATGGAATAACACTATTTGATGGCCATACGTCAAATTATGCCCATTCTCTTCAATTTTTCCCCTTCCCATTTATCTAAGGCACTCTAAATTGTTTGTATACTATATGATCGTTTTATTTTAGAACTCTAATGCGGTTTGTAATTAATTTTTGTGGTCAAATACTTCCGTTACAAACAATTTTTTTTTGTGTGGTTTACTACTAGTGTATATATATTTTTAAAAAAAAAAGACAAACTGAATGACGTTTATTGATTACATTGATCAATGAAATTGAATGGTAATCAAACTCTTTTCACGGTTTAGATCCAATGCTTTGTAAACAGAAAGTTGTTACTGAGATGGATTCATGAATATATAGTCTCTATATTACGTAGGTCGATTAGAAATGCAAATGCCTACCGAAAAATAAAAACTAAAAAAAAACTAAAAAAAAAAGATATGTGCATTATGTACAGCCTCTCAATAATTGTTGTAGCCACTAAAAATCATCCTCTCAATAATCGTTGTAAGCCACTCATAAAACACACAGCACTTCGGATTTTCTTTTATCAAATATTAAATTGCTAAAGAAATTCGTCAAATACTTTTTCCATGACTCTAATAGTTTCTACACCATTACATCGATCAAAGAACAGGATCTGGAGACGTAACATATAAATATAATTTTGACTATGGAGCCGTTCGTAACCTATTACAAAGAACAAGATATTTAATATACGAAGTAAAGTAATATACAAAGAACAAGATTTCACCTGTAAATTCGTATAATAACGCACCTCCTTCTCTCACTCAAGATCAGGTCAAACGTCACGTGACCACTCTCTAACCTTTTTGCATTTTTTTTTTTCACCTCTTAAAATAGCATACAAAAAACCAACCAAATTTTTTGAAAGGAGGATCGTCGAACCCATCGTGGCATTGACTTGTCTACTTTCCTTTTTTGGCAAAACACCTCTTATCCCGGAATAGAAAGCTCATCACTCTCACCAAAACGAAACAGAAGAAGAAAAAAGAAGAAGAAGATCAAGAATCAAGATCCGTTTTTTTCTGCATCTTTCTTTTCTTGAATGTTGCCGTTTGGATCGTCTCCAGAGAAATGCGACGGCGGAGGAAGACGGTTGAGGTGGCTGTGATACGGAGGCTGCTAACATTCGCCATATGCGCAATAGCTCTTATCGGCTTTCTCTCCGTCCACATCTACGTTGCTCCTTTGCACAAACTCTCCAGGCTTCACCTGAAAAATCACAACCGCCACACCACTCACGTCCGTAACCAATCTCTCTTCTCTCAAAGATTTCCAGAAAGATTAGTGATTGTTCTTGACTCGTTCTTCCGGATTTTGATTTTCTCTGTTTAACAGCGAGAAGATGTCACCGATGACGAAATTAAATCATCCATCATCACAGAACAGAGCTCGAAGAGGAACTTTTCTCGTCCTGAATCGATTAAAGCTCGTTTTATCTCCGATTACAAGGTTCGATCTTTGCCACATTTCTTGAGATCTTCCTGTTTTGGAGTAAAGCTTTGAGCTTTGGCTACTACTCTGTTTCTTGTTTGATTCTTGGTCCAATTTCAGAAGAATGAGATTCAGTATCAGAGCTCAGCATCGGAATACATCAACAACACGCATGAACAAGTTCCTGCCCACTTCTCCACAAACCCTTCCTCCAAGGTTAGAAAATTTCTTACTTTTTAATCTTTAAGTGAAGCCCTAAAGTTAGTTGCTTGCAAGTCAATCTTTAGTGGGGAAATTAGTATTAGGGTTTTTTTTGATGATGGGTTTGTTGCTTGAACAGTTTAGTGGTTGCAAAGATTGGATTGTTTTTGAATAGAAGGATCATGCCTCTTTTCGTGTTTTTCACTCTTTTAGATTTGACAGTTGAACGTCACAAGCAAGACACCGGATTTTGACAAGCTTTGGAAACCTCCACCGAACCGCAATTTCGTCCCATGTGTCAATCCCAATCCCAATTACACACGTGAGAAAACAAAAACTGTCTTGTTTTTAGTTTCTTCTTGTAGCTAAAATCAAAGTCTTGTGTTGACTCTTTGATTCTTCAGCTTCATTGGAATCTAGAGGCTATCTTCTTGTTCACACTAATGGAGGGCTTAACCAAATGCGTGCTGGGGTAAGTATATAGTAGTACTCTCTACTCTTTGTGTTTCTCTTCACTCACAAGGCTGAATCAATCTTCTTCCATTGCAAAAATCTACAGATATGTGACATGGTAGCTATAGCTCGTATTATAAATGCTACACTTGTAGTCCCGGAGCTCGATAAACGATCTTTCTGGCAGGATTCTAGGTTAACTCCATGTTACAATACTCTGTTTTTCTTCTTCTTGTCTTAGCATTTCTTGATCCTGTTTGTGTATCTCTGATCCGATCGAAACAGCAAATTCAAGGATGTCTTTGATGAAGATCACTTCATCAATGCGTTATCTAAAGATGTAAAAGTCATCAAGAAGCTTCCAAAAGGTATCAGTGGACTCACAAAAGTGGTGAAGCATTTCAAAAGCTATTCAGGTCTGAGTTACTACCAAAAGGAGATAGCTAGCATGTGGGATGAATATAAGGTATGATTATGTTTTGAGTAAACTTAAGAAAATGCTTTGTGCTTTTGTAATGTTTTCTTCACTTCACTCAGGTGATTCGAGCAGCCAAATCTGATTCTCGTCTAGTAAACAACAATCTACCACCAGATATCCAGAAGCTGCGTTGCCGTGCTTGCTATGAGGCTCTACGCTTCTCTCATAAAATCGAAACAATGGGAAAAGTAAAAACTATGACTTGTCTATCAAGTCTATAACCATCTTTCTCTAGTTGAGTTTCTTTTATCTAAAGTTTTGATTTTTATGATAAATCTTGCAGCTTTTGGTGGATAGGATGAGATCTTACGGTTTGTACATCGCGTTGCATTTGAGATACGAGAAAGATATGCTAGCTTTTAGTGGCTGCAACCATGGTTTATCTGCTTCTGAAGCTGCTGAGCTAAGGAAGATTAGGCAAGTCCAAAACAAAACAAAACAACATTTCTTGTGTAGTTTCTTGCGATATAAGTAAGAAGGTTTTGTTGTGTTTAGGAAGAACACAGCGTATTGGAAGGTGAAAGACATTGATGGAAAAGTACAAAGACTCAAAGGGTTTTGTCCATTGACACCAAAAGAAGTCGGAATTTTGCTAACGGCTCTTGGGTATTCATCAAACACACCGATCTATATAGCTGCTGGTGAGATTTATGGTGGTGAGTCTCGGTTAGCCAGTACTCTAGGCTCACGTTTCTCCATGTTAATGAGTAAGGTACTTTGCAAAGTTTCAAGCTTTTTGGTTATTTATAACTAATGAGATCGAATAAAAGATTTGACTGTTTTGTTGCAATGAAAGGAAAAATTGGCGACAAAAGAAGAGCTTAAGCCTTTTATGAACCACTCAACTCAAATGGCTGCACTTGACTACATTGTTTCCATAGAAAGCGATGTTTTTATTCCGTCGTATAGTGGAAACATGGCGAGAGCTGTTGAAGGGCATCGCCGGTATCTTGGTCATCGGAAAACCATCTCTCCGGACAGGTGAGATTGTCTTTTGCTGTTTTGCTTTTGGTTTGAAGTCATGGAATCTTACATTTTGTTGGTGCTTGTTGTGATTCAGGAAAGGCATTGTGAGGTTGATAGACAAAATTGGAAGAGGAGCTGAGAAAGATAACAGACAAGTTTATGAAAAAATCATAGAGATTCACAAGACCCGGTAAGCAAAAACCAACATTTTCTTCATATACATTAGTACTCGTCTTTAAAATGTAGTGGTTGACATTCTTGAGTGTTGTGGTTATGATATACAGACAAGGATCACCGAGGAGGAGGACAGGACCGGCTACGGGAGCAAAGGGTTTGGAGAGACATCGTTCTGAGGAATCTTTCTACGAAAATCCATTACCGGAATGTCTCTGCCAGAGAGACCCAAGTAGAAGAAGATGAGATTGTAGATTCCACAGGCCTTATGGGAAAATTTTCGATGCTTTTTGGCAATGCAGATAAGTAAAATGATAGTTATAGGCAATATTATACTAGGTTATAGCATCATTATAGTGAAAACCACTTCTGATTAACGAATCAAATGTAATCAAACAGTTTAATAATGACTGTTACATACCATTTTTGCAAAAAAAATGATTCAAATATACCTAAAAAGAAGTTACCTTTGTTACTTGATAGAAATGATCATGTATTGTCTGATTACTTCAAATTAAGAAGGAAACATTGCCCGAAATATTTGTTACTTTTGATTGGAATAGTAATAATAATGATGAATAATGTATGTATGCAACCCTGAGAGAAACAGAAGGCAAACGTTTCCGGTACTAAAGAAGTGAAGCTCGCAATGGAAAAGGCATATAATCAGGAAGAACAACATATGATTCTCAAAACTTGAGCATACAAATAAAAAGGAAAATTTGAGATTATATAAGTTTTTGTTAAATTCTCACATTTTATGATTGGGGAACCAGAAGTGCTTGGATTCTGTAAAATCTTATTAAACTCTGCAGTGTAATATAGGCAACAGCAAAGAAGATGATTGGATAGATGGCATATGATTCTTCTTCAGTCTTAAAGAGGACCTGGGAAAGTTCCATTCTCTCTTTGCTCGTTCCACCTATCAACCTGCCAAAACACACAAGCACAGATTTAAGAAGCAGAAGAAACCACTGCATGAGTCAGAAAAAGGAAACATTATCATGACAATTTGTGATCTCAAAACAGTCTATTTAACATCATCATCTACCAAATTACTGAAAAGAGTGAAGCAAGCTAGTGGAAGGTATACAATACATACCCATTCGCTGGGGCAAAGAGATCGATAAAACTTTGCGAACTTATCGCATTCTGGAGCTTCATCACCCTTTGCAGCTACACATCTGCAGATTTGAAAACAATCACAAGACTTAGAAGTGTGTGAGAGAGAGAGAGAGATCAGATTATAGAACAAAACGAAAACCACAGCTGAACATCAGTTTCTCACCTGTGATATTCAATGTAACGAGTGAAACAATGCCTCGTTTGGTTTGTTGTCGGGAAACGGAAATCAGCAGGAGCTGTCTCAAGCTGTCAAAAACACCACACAACCCAACTCTTGATCAATAAATAACAAAAGAAGAGCAAAACTGCATCAAAGTAAGTCTCTTTCTTGAGTGATAGCAACTAGCATATACCTTAATCTCATCAGGAGTTTCCTCAGGGACTTCTTCACTAGTCTTTTCTTCATTAGTTTCTTCAGCAGCCGGAGGAGCTTCTACTTCTGCAGCAACAGGAACCTCTTCAGAAGTCGCTTCTGTGTTCTCTTCAACTGCAGAAACCGCTTCCTCAACAGGAGATTCGTCCTTGGCTTGGTCCTTGCTAACCTCCTCAGCTTGAGTAGTGGTAACCTCTGGTGTCACCTCTTTCGCTTCCACAGGCTTTGCACTTGTGTCTTGCTTCGCTTCTTTCTCCAAATGATATTGCTGCAACAATGGTTCCAGATGTTAGACCAAATGATAACCAACACAGATTCTCACCAGACGATAACAATTACGAATTTGTGAATATCAAGCTGGTAATGTTATTTTCCAATGGACAAAAGTCTATACTTTTAAAAACAACAGCTCATCGAAAGATTTAAACTTTTCTTCCAATTCAATTTTTTGATATTTAACTCAACGCAAAAATCAAAGAAAAGTCTGATGATACAATCTTGTTGACCTGTTCAAATCAATCTGTTTTCGCAAATCGATCGGAAAAAGTGAAAACTTTTTAATGTATTGAAGAGGCAAAGAGATGTAATTTCGCTAGTTTTTGAATGATATAGTCAAAATCGAGCTGAATCAGATCTATCAAAGTGCAAATAAAAAATATCAAAACCAAAATGGAAATCCGAATCAGGTGGTTCTTCAGTAGATCGATCGAAAGATCGGATGAGAAAGTGAAGAGTGAGCATCGGCGAGGACACTGCTACAGAGAGCAAAAATGAGAAATGAGGTTAGATGAAGAATTACCTCGGAGAGCGACGGAGTTTGAGCAGCGACAGCTTCCGCCATTGAAGTGTCTTGGTCAGAAGATTCCTCAAGGGAGTGGAGAGTAACAGAGAAGGACGAAGATCGGAGACAGAATCTTTAGATGATAACACAAAACTCGAGAGCAAATTGTTAGGTTTAAGCTTCTCCAGGAGGACCTATCTGGCTATATTTTCCTTACAGACCAAACGACAGCGTTTTGTTTTAATTTGAATTGGGCCTATACCTCCGAATTCCACTTTAGGCCCAATTTATTTGGAAACTTTTGCTTTACATTTTGAAAACGTATGTATTATGTACTGAACCATTGAAGAAGATACAAATTGTTACACATGAAGAAAGCAATACAAGCAAAAGATATTACATATGATACATTCGTAAAATATGATTATTGACAATTTATATTTGTTACCAACGATGTTTTGAGACATGGAACGGTAAGAAAAAGACAACAAAAGAAGAAGAGAAAATTAAATGATAGAAAACATCAAATTGACAAATTATTGATCCATCCATAGAACGCAACGGATACAATTTCCTTCCACCATTAAATCGAAAGCTTTATTAATTTCCACGAAGCTTAGTTCGTGTGTAATCAGACCATCCAGATTAAGCTCCTGCACGCAGCATTAAAAAACAAACAAACAAATATTACAAGCCAATTTTCCTAAACATTATAACCTAAAAATCAATTGGTGAAGAGATCTCAACATGGTATCAGAGCCAGATCCGCATACTTTCGTGACTCGGGCCTAGAGAGTATGCAAATTAGGCTTTGATACCATGTTAAGTTTACTAAATATTCAACTTCAAACCAATTGACAATAGGTAGAGAAGCCTTGATCCTTTATATATCGTTTAAAATTCTTTCCAATTTTCGATGTGGGACTTATCTTACATGCTTTTAAAAAATTAAAACTTTATAGTCCTATTAACCTCTGCATATCCCAATTATAGAGAATTAAAAATAAACAATTTATGGATAATCAAATCATTCTCAGATCTAGTTTTATTTTAATTGAATTATGTGGTTGTAAAGAAAGAAAAGAAGTTAATTACCTTTTTCAAATAACGATCCACGAGAATGGGAATATCAAGTTTAGATTTCAAACCGCCAAATAAAGTTCCGCATATAGTTCTGCCTCTGAGAAGATAACGACTACCCAAGCTTATCGGTGAATCATTTTTTTCCATCCCCACTATTACTGTTTTACCCGATCCCTGACCAAAAAAAAAATCATAGTTAAAACCTGATTTTGATTTATCGATATAACAATATACAAAGTGACTGGAACCGGTAAAAACGTACCGTGCGAATGCTGTTGAAAGCCTCCTCCATCAAAGAAGCTAAACCAATGCATTCAAAACTGTAGTCAACTCCTCCTCCTTGTGTCATTTCTTTAATCACCTTTTTTCATAATTATCAAACTCCATAAAAAAAAATGCACGTTTCAAATTTTTTTTTTTTTTTTATGTAGAAAATTGTGTCAATCAACACACCTGGCTGATTCTTTTCTCTTTAGAGATAGCAGGGTTGATGAAATCCGTGATCCCGAATTGTTTACCTACTCAGACATCAATAATAGCAAACAAATAATTTTTTACCTAAATAATTTTTGAACCGGACCTACGACTTCTGTTCAGTTGAGTGTTGACAAAAATAATAAAATAAGAAACCAGACCAAAATAATTGCAAGAAATAGACCAAACCAAACCTATTTCAAATTTGTCGGGATTGAGATCCACGCCAATAATCTTTGCAGCCCCACGCAGCCTTGCGCCTTCTGCAACCTGTTTACCAAATCAATTATTGTTTTTGGGTCTTATTTGCAAATTGTATACATCAATAGTTAAATCGTTAATGTAGCTTTTATTTTCCTAACATAGTCATAAGTCATAACAAATCATTTAGAAAAAATAATACCGCAAGTCCAACAGCACCAAGGCCAAAGATAGCGACTGTGGAACCTTCCTCCACGTCAGCCACCTTCCATGCAGCTCCAACACCTGCTTCCACATGGCTCTCGATTAGTCCATTATTAACTAGCTTATAACAAAAAATGTTAATTGTATCCTACCCCTAATGTTTATTTTTATGTATATGTTTTAACCTCTTATAAAATCTAGCTTTATATAACAAATTAACAATCAACCCTACAATCACGAACTAACCTGTGGAGACGCAGCAGCCGAGCAAAACCGCTGTTCGAACGGGGATCTCGGGAGAGATTTTGACGAGATGGACGATATCCACGACGGTATATTCGGTGAAACTCGAGACATAGAAAAAATGGTGGATGATCTCGCCGGAAGAGTCTTTGAATCTTGAGCTCGTTCCGTATCTTCTTGTGTTCGATAAGCTATCGTCGCAAAACCTTGCGCACCAGTTGCTCTTCGGAGATTTGCAGTCTTTACATTCCTCACAGTGAGGATGAAACACCGGTAAAACGACGTCACCTTGTTTAAATCCGTCCACGTGTTCTCCAACGCTCTCGACCACGCTGGATTAATTATAATACAAGTAAGCTAATCAAGTAGTTTAACTTTTTGAAGTTGAAATAACTAAAGCAGCATGTGAAGATTTTACCCGACTGCTTCATGTCCAAAAATCCTAGGAAACCTTGCAAGCGGTCCCTAGAAAAGTCAAAAGGTTAGCGAAAATCGATTTTTGAAGGATAGATATTATGTGTGTTGACATGTATATACTATAGTGTAAGCTTACAGTGTCTTCTTTCCACTTAGTAACATCAGTGTGACATATAGAAGTGCATAGGATCTTAATCCGAACTTCGTAAGCTTGAGGTGGATAAACTTGGATCTCTTCTATCACCAATGCTTCGCCAGCTTTTCTACATATTGCTGCTTTGCATCTTATCGGCTTTCCTTCGTTGCTGGAGATCTTGTCCATGTTGAATGATGAACGATGATTGTGTGGAAATGAGTGAGGGAGAGGAGAGAGAGAGAGAGAGATATTCACTTGTTCTTTGTATCTTGTCTTTATATATATATCTGTCTCTGCGAAACGATTCCCTAGTTTTTATCTTATTTTCTTAATAAATCAGTACTTTAGTCTCAGTATGAGAAGGAGAGGTTATCGGATACCTTCAATTAGTGTGTCCTCTAGTCTATTATTGAATAATGAATCGTAAAAAATGATGCATGGCAAATTATACCAATGGAAAATATGTTAGAGGTGAAATTAGCATATTCTTTGAACATACATATCACAATTAGTAATAATAGCAAGGTCCAGTCCGTTTGCAGCATTAACCTTCTCAAATAAATGGCAAATCTTGAAAAGAAAGACAAATATTTGGAAAAATGTAAAGAGGGATTTCTGCCGACTTAAAGAATGAAAAGAAATCAAGAACAAGAGGGAGTTTTATAATTTGATAAAGAGGAATAATATTTTGAGGAAGCCGACCTCCTCTCTTTATAAATAGAAGACCCATCATTATTTGAAAATCATCCACAATAATCTGAAATCCTCTGCAAACACCTAGAGCAATTACTACTCTTTTGTCCTTTTTTTCTCTTATCTCTCATATTTCGTCTCGTCAAGGTCTGTTTGACGAGACCTCCTTTTGTATTTTTTGGTACTTTTTTGAGCAATTACATCTTTGATATCTTGTCGCTGAACATGTGCTATCTTAGATTCAATTATTGGCGCCGACTATGGGGACTGGGAACATTTCTCAAGAACTTGAAACTCAAAAAAGTACTCGAATTCTAAGAAGACAACTGATGTCACAGACTCGCAGTCAGAAAACAACTCTCCGGAGAAGTTGTGACCGACGAGATGGGCTCTTCTCGGGAGAGTTGTCTTCTAACTGCGACATCAATTGTCTTCTTAAAATCTGAGGACTTCTTCGAGTTTCAAGTTCGTGAGAAGTGTTCTCAATCCTACAGTCGGCTCCAATTGTTGAATATGAGATAGCACATGTTCAGCGATAAGATATCAAAGATGTGAATTTGGGAAACTAAAACTTTATTGCTCGAAAAAGTACCAAGGAATACAAAAGGGGGTCTGAATAGATCACAAGTTGCACATTAAAACCATTTAAAAAGATGCAAATTGTGTTTATCTTCCACCATATACTAAACCATATAGCAAATCATTGCCAATGAAATAACATATGATACATTTGTAAAATTTGGATTCTCTCAACGATATTTAGGAATATGGATGAATCGAAAAAAAATATCAAACTCAAGTAAAACATTTATTTATCCATCCATAGAATGCAACGGATAGACTTCCCCTCCACCAGTAAATCGAAAGCCTTGTTAATTTCTTCAAAGCTTAATTCGTGAGTAATAAGACCGTCCAGATTAAGCTCCTGAAATTAACAAGAAAATTATAATCACATGCCAACATCTATATAGAATCATAACCTGATTTGAAGAAGAAAAACAACTACAAGTTTTATTTTTGTTTCTTTTACAAATAACAACATAAACTAAAAACAGATTATTTTATACCTTTTTCAAATATCGATCCACGAGAATGGGAATATCAAATTTGGGTTTAAGACCGCCAAATAAAGGTCCACATATACTTCTGCCTCTTAGAAGATCATAACTACCCAGGTTTATTGGCAGAGCCCTCTTCTCCATCCCCAATATTACAGCTTTACCTCCCTTAAAGAAAATTAGCAGTAAAACTTAAATAGATTTAACCATTTTGGTTTATACAACATGGACTGATGCTAAACTCAAATAGAAACCGGTATGAACCGGTAAAAGCATACCGTGCGGGTGCTATTGAAAGCCTCCTCCATCAAAGAACTTACACCAATGCATTCAAAACTATAGTCAACTCCTCCTTTTGTCATTTCCTTAACCACCTTCAATACATAATTATCCAATAATTTTTTTTTTAGAAAGTAAAAATATAAAACGAATCTACATAATTGAAAAATGATGCAAATCAGCACACCTGGCTAATTGTTTTATCTCCAAACAAAGCAGGATTGACAAAATCAGTGATACCGAATCTCTTACCTACATCAATAATTATAGATGGTTTAGATGATGATATATCATATGAAAAAAAAAAGAATAATATGAATCGTTTTTTTTGAAGGTTTATACAGGAGATCAAATCCAAAAAACATTCCAAGAAATAAAAGTAACCAAACCTATTTCACATTTATCAGGATTGAGATCCACACCAATGATCTTTGCAGCCCCACGCAGTCTTGCGCCTTCTGCAACCTGTTTACCAAATCATTCTCTCTTTTAAATCAAACTCTCATTCGCAAATATCAGTATTTTTTTTTGTACATCATACGTTCTATTTTCATAATGTAGCATAGTTTTCTGTAACAGAGAAAGAAATTTTAATTTTCAAATACCGCAAGTCCAACAGCACCAAGGCCCAAGATAGCGACTGTGGAACCTTCTTCCACGTCAGCCACCTTCCATGCAGCTCCAAGTCCTGTTTAATATTTATATCCCATTCCCACCCTCAGTTTCTACTTCTGTTAATGTTTTAACTTCTAACCAAAGATAAAACTAAAGTTATCTCACAATTAACCAAAATGAATATGATTAACCTGTGGATACACCGCAGCTGAACAAAGCAGCTTTATCGACGGGAATCTCAGGAGATATTTTGACGAGATGTGCGATATCAACAACTGTATATTCAGAAAAACTCGAGACAAAGAGAAAATGGTAAATATCTTCTCCTGAAGAGTCTTTGAATCTAGAAGTCATTCCGTATCGTCTCGTGTTTGATAAGAAATCGTCGCAAAATCTCGTGCACCAGTTGCTCTTTGGGGATTTGCAGTCTCTGCATTCTCCACAGTGAGGGTGAAACACTGGCAAAACGACGTCCCCTTGTTTAAATCCATCAACGTGCTCTCCGATGCTCTCCACCACACTGGATTACAACCCAAAATTAGTCAATATATTGACCAAAGAGAGAGTAATTAAGCAATATATGTGTGAATGATTATTTTTCGATGCCCTAATTATATGGATGAATATTCACCCGACTGCTTCGTGTCCAAGAATCCTAGGAAACCTTGCAAGAGCTCCCTGGAAAAGTAAAAAGGATTAGTGAATTTTTATCGAGTTTTCAATAATAGTTTCTGCATTGAGTTTAACATTATAGCATGTACATGACCTAAGTGTAAAAACTTACACTGTCTAGTTTCCAGAAACTAACATCAGTGTGACATAGAGAACTGCATAGGATCTTAATCCGAACTTCGTAGGCTTGAGGTGGATAAACTTGGATCTCTTCTATCACCAATGCTTCTCCTGCTTTTCTACATATTGCTGCTTTGCATTTTATCGGCTTTCCTTCGTCGCTAGAGAGTGATAAACTACCCATGATGGATTATAATGAACAACGATGGAGTAGATATGAGAGATAGTCTGCTTCTTCTTCTTCCTATCTTGATTTTTTGAATGCCTGTCCCTGCATAACGATTATTCCATAGTTTATATAAATAGCTAATTATTCTCATCAATCATTTTTTTAGAGACAGTTCATAATTGAGCTCGTCTCTATGTGAGAATGAATCGTGAGTCCATCACGGACTACCTTTATTTTGTAATGTAGTCTTTGTTATTACGAATCGCAAGGTAATGAAAACATTGGCAGTGAGCAAGAAATACAAAAAAGAAAGAAATGAAAACATTGGCAGATCGTATCATTGGAAATCATATACGGATCCGGTGGTCGGTGGATAAGTAAAAAGTTAAAAAAAACCAGCTAATAAATATCATTTTTTAAATCTTACTTACATTCCAATCAACCAACGATTTACTTAAATATTGGGTGTGGAACTTGGATGTCTCATTCTCCTTTATACATGTTTGTTTTTACGCGCCTTAATTGAATTTGAGATGTTAACATTCACATGGTTCTTGGCAACATTCTCAACAAGTAGCCTCTGATACGTTTTAGGCAGCATAGCTTATCCTGAACACAACCATATGAAAAATAAACATTGTATGGCTTGGTTCGAATCTTAAGTCCTTTGTTAAAACTTAACTTAGCTATATGTTTAGATAATTTTTTTTAACTGGTTCTTGTTAAGATAGTTACGTTCTACGGATCAACGCTTGAAAAAATATTTTATTCATGAATAATGTTTTGGTTACACAACTTCAAAATATAATCGATTTTAATCTTCTAGCAAGTTTAGAGAAGAATCTTCGAGGATCTAGGTTTAGCTCTTTCGGAGTTGATACTTTTCAGTAGCATGGATGGAGTCGTCGATGGTGTTGTTAGCCATTGATTCTTCATCGTCATAGCTTTTAGGATTTTCTCCATTCTCTTTGGCATATCATTTCTTTATTTCTCCGTTCTCTATATTAAAGATCTACGTCAAACCTTAGAATATACCATTATAAGTTTCTAATTCCACAAAAATGTCATTGACGTGACAATACCGATTTATCCAATGGAGTTACTGAGTTTATTTTACGCAACATTATACTCTAGATCTAATAGTCTAATGTAACACTGGAAAAAATGGAAAAGTACATCACAAGCTATCTAGCAACCTAGTCGAAGGAGCTCCACTGGTCGACTTGACGTAATGATTAGTTACTTATCCATCCATAGAATGCAGCGGATAGACTTTCCTTCCTCTAGTAAATCGAAAGCTTTATTGATTTCCTCAAAATTCAATTCGTGTGTAATAAAGCTATCTAGATTTAGCTCCTGCAGTTGGTAACCAAAAAACAAAAAAAACAAAAATCATGAAAACTTTAATTAGTAACATGTAAATAATGAAATTAGGGTAACATTTCTTTGATAATTCAGAAAACAAGAATGCTGCAATGAAATACCTTTTTGAGGTAGCTATCCACAAGAATCGGAATATCCACTTTAGATTTGAGACCACCAAACAAGCTTCCGCAAACACTTCTTCCTTTGAGAAGATCAAAACTGGCCAAACTAATTGGTGCTGCATGCTTTTCCATCCCCAACATTATAGTCTTTCCTGATCCCTGTTTATTTCTTTTCCAAATTTAGTAAATTGGATTTTGTTTTATTCATCGGAATGATGCTGACTGAGCTGACTAAAATTCGGTATGTAAGCGTACGTACCGTGCGGGTGCTGATAAAAGCCTCCCTTAGTAAAGAAGCTAAACCAACGCACTCGAAACTATAGTCAACTCCTCCTCCTGTCATTTCTCTAATCACCTTTTTTCGTAATCATCCAAAAGAAATTAATTGATTACTTTGACTTTTATTTATTTCGAATGTAAAGTCTGAAATTTATGTATGAAAACGGAGTTAGATATTTAAATAACATACCTCACTGATTTTCTTTTCTCCACATAAGGTTGGATTGACGAAATCCGTTAAGCCAAATTGTCTGCCTATTCAATTTAAACAAATTATAAATTTACTTCTGTTTTTCTGTTACGTGCTGTTTGGTTTATTAATTTTTTTGTCATTTAATAATTTGATTATAGATATTACAACATGGACGGATTCATATGCACCGTTTGTTAGACCAACACCAACTACTACTAGTTTTTACTTTTTACTCGTGTAAGATAGATACTACGTACCAACCAAACATGGTCAGAAAAAGCCAAAACAAAATAGTAACGTTCAAAACGTACAAGACAAAAATATTTAAGTGAAGTAGATCACGAGTTTACCTAGCTCGAATTTATCAGAATTGAGATCGACACCGATGATCTGTTTGGCTCCACGTAGCCTCGCTCCTTCTGCAACCTTTTACCAGACCACAACTAATTTATATAAAATTAATAAAGAGAAATATAAACGAACAAAAATTGTTACTGTTAACGAATGAATGTGTTTGATAAAAGAAAAAGAAAAAATGATACCGCAAGTCCAACGGCACCAAGGCCAAAGATTGCAACGGTGGAACCTTCTTCCACGTCAGCCACTTTCCAAGCTGCTCCGACACCTGCTCCACGTGGCGCACAATCAGCCCGGTGTTCGTTATCCGACTATTTCATAAATAAGCATCCCAACCCCTAGTTTCTACTTCATTTTATGTTTTCACCCCTAAATATAATGAAAAAATCTAAACCAACCCTACGAACCGAAAACAAGAAAAATGAAGATAACTAACCTGTGGAGACACCGCAGCTGAGCAGAGAAGCTTTGTCGACGGGAATTTCAGGAGAGATTTTGACGAGATGTGCGATATCAACAACGGTATATTCAGAAAAACTCGAAACATAGAGAAGATGGTGAATAACTTCTCCCGAAGAGTCTCTGAATCGAGAAGCCATTCCATATCGTCTCGTGTTCGATAAGTGTTCGTCGGCAAATCTTGCGCACCAGTTGCTCTTTGAGGACTTGCAGTCTCTGCATTCTCCACAGTAAGGGTGAAACACTGGCAATACGACGTCGCCTTGTTTCAATCCGTCCACGTATTCTCCAATGCTCTCGACCACACTGGATTATACAAATCGTAAGTCAAGTAAATAGGCAGATTCTTGAAAGAAAGAGTGAAACTAAAGAAGCATATTGTGAAGATTCACCCGACTGCTTCGTGTCCAAGAATCCTAGGGAACTTTGCAAGTGGCCCCTGAAAAAAGTTAAAGTGATTAGTAAAAGATTCTGCGTTGAGATTGTGATATCATCATATTTATGTACAGGCTTACACTGTCTAGTTTCCAGAAAGTAACATCGCTGTGACATAGAGAAGTGCATAGGATTTTAATTCGAACTTCGTAAGCTTGAGGTGGATCAACTTGGATCTCTTCTATCACCAATGCTTCTCCTGCTTTCTTGCATATGGCTGCTTTGCATTTTATCGGCTTTCCTTCGTTGCTAGAGAATGGTGCCTTGTCCATGGTGAATGATGCACAAAAAAAGTGAGTGGACGAAAGAGAGACAGGGAGAAAATGTTGAGTCTCTTATTCTTCCCATCTTATCTTTAAATATTGTCCAAGTGCGACAACAATATTAAAAACTATTAAAATAGTATTTTTAGTCTACTCTAGTCTGAAAACTAAACTTTATTTTGAATTTTTTATCTCCATTGATAGTATCTATCTATGGAGTCTTTTATTAATTTATATTAATATTTTTAAGTTTGATCTGAGAGTTTTATTTTGATCATAAAATCTTTCAGTATTATTTTTAAACATATCAAATTACATTTTAAATAGATTTATGGTTTACACTAGTAATAGTAATAAAATCATAAATACTAATAATCTTAATGAAATGGATTGTTTGAAGTTAAGATTGAAGAAATTTTTTGTTGTAGTGTTTCCTTCTTATTGATTATTAAAAATCAACAAAAAATTTGTTGAACAAAAAAAATAGATCCTTGTTTGGATCCATACTGATGAAAGAAAGGAAAAAAGAGTTATGGTAAGATGAAGATCGTCTGAAATTTATATTTTAAAGAAGAAAATATATTAAATGATTGTAACAAAATATCAAAAATATAACTCTTGTTTAAATATATATATATATATAATTAATTTTTCAGATATCAGATTTTTCTCCTAAAATATATAATAATGTAGATTTTATTGATTAAATCAATACTAATTTAATATTATTGTATTAATTTAAACTAATATAAAAAATACTATTAATATTTACCATAAACTTATGCATAAATAAAGCTGTGTAGATACTTTCAAATTTTAAGCACCTTATACAGAGATCTATTTTTTTTTTGGGATAAAGTGTATACAAAGAGATTATACTATTATGCGTTTAATATTTAGCGATGGTAACATGTATATTTATACCTAGCAAATACCATTCTTTTTGGTTTTGGATCTTTACGACACGAGACACATATATTTTAGGGAAATTTGGCAAAATACTCCACATTTACAGAATAGTTGTCCATCTACTCTTTTTTTGCCTAAACTTGTCCACTTACTCTTTATAAAAATTTAAACCCAATTTTAACCCTCAAATCATGTTTTAATAGAATTGGGATTAAATAATTAATTAAAAAATAAATAAATTAATTAATAAATAATAAAAAGTAAAGAGAAGTTTTAGTGTCGTCGACTCTTCTCTCCTTCAAACTTCTTCTTTACTACTTTTCTCCTTGTTGTATTATCTCATCTGCTTGTTTTTTCAATTAAGTAAAACTGCAAGTTTCTTAAGTGTCTCTAACCCTTGATTGTACTCGATTTCCATGTGCCACATGTTACATAGATTTGCAACATAGCAACTTAGAAGAAAAAACTGAAACAGATAATGGAAGAAAAAACTAGATAAAAGATAAGAAAAAATGGAGAGGAGGAAGAAGAACAATATGGAAGAAATGTATTTTTTTTCATTTTTCTGAGAAAAAAAATTAAAGGAAATGTTGTTTTTTCAAAAGATTTTAAAATATTCAGTTACCATTTTTACTATATTTTCTCAGATTTCCGTAGAAGATGCATTCTACCATTTCGTAGAAAACTGTGTTTAAGGTAGATTACAATTTCTACAAACGGTAGAAGGCAATGTTTTTCAGAGAACACACAATCTACAAATAGTAGAAGATAGTATTTTTAGTTGAACACGAATTCTTCATATAGTGGAAGAGAATGTTTATGGTAGAATATAAATTCTACCGGTGGTAGACAACCATGTATATCGTAGAACAAATGTTTTACAGTTCTACCAAGTCGTAGAACATTGAATATTTAGTAGAAATCAAATTCTACGATGGTAGAAACTATAACAGTCGGTAGATTTTACGCTCTACGGTGGATAGATGTGAGAGCATACAGTAGAAGACATATTCTACTTTGAATATTGAATTTGGTAGAAGGAAACTTTATTTATTTTTCTGAGGTTCAAATTTCAACAAAAAGCTTTAAAAATATTTTCTAAAATCTTAGAATCACTTTACTGAATTTATTTAATTTTTTGAAATTTTAAAAATATTTATTTCATATTGTTAGCATATACAAGGATATTATAGTCAAAAATTGGTAAATTTCAAAAAAGGTGTAAAGAGACAAGAGTTCTCTTTTTTGAGGGTATATTCACAAATCTCCCTATATTTTATAGAGTTGACATGCGTTCTAAGGTTAACATGCGCTCATTCAATAGGTAACATTCGTTCAGTTATATAGTCTTTTGTATCGTATGTTCTAAACCTTGTGCGTACGGTACGTGTGGTCGATTGCTGGATCTCAGCGACACGAACATTAATGCATATCGTGTGCCCAGGAGCCACTTGCGACAATCACTACGTGGACAAATTTGGAAAACAAATACTCCAAATTCGTGTTTCATTATATTATTTAGATGTGAAGATATATTCGATTTTTATAAGGTTTAAATATTTTTATTTTATATTTTAACTAGGAGTTTTTGTATTTTTTTTGTATTTGAGAAAGAGTATAACTAGTGCATTTCAGGGTTATGCAATTAAGTTTGTTTGTCTCCGAATGAGAAAAAGCCGTGAGTCGGTGACAGACTTGCGGTCCCTTTCCTTTTGTCTTATAGTTGATTGTTCATCTGTTATCAATTAACATCTTTGTTTCAGGAAAACCATTCTCTACTTCAAATTCCTTTTCAAAATTGCAATTAGTAAAACTTTTGTTTTTACCAAAAAAATTGCAAATAGTAAAAATTCATATTACTAACCGAATGAAAAAACCAAAAAGAGTTGTTAGAAACGACTTTAACCTTTTCCGGAAAAAAAAAACAAGAACAGAGAACATTTTACAAATCGTTGATAAGAAACTGTGATGCGTTCGATGTGTTTTCACGGTCTCCAGATTTTTCCATGGACATGGGCCTCCAAGATATCAAACATATTGGCCAGCTGATCAGACTTTAGGTCTTATAAGAGTTCGAATATGTTGTGAAGAGCTAAATATCGTTAGACTATGAGAGGTTCTTGTTCTTTAATTTTACCTTAGCCTTCACCAAAGCATGGATTTTGTTCCTATTCTTAAGTATTCTCTTAGAATCAAGAGAGATTAAAACTTCAGACACTTTTTGAATATCTCCAAAAAGTAGTGGACAATAACTCTAATATTTTCGTCACAAGTGTATCAAGTATCGCAATTACTAAATGATCATAGAGTCATAATAAAATAAAAACATCGTATTTTTAAAAACAATAAAGTTCAAATTATATTCGTAGAATCGTAGTGATACTACTGAGCATGGTAGTTGGCACAGGGCCATGCTTATTCAATAAAATGTTAGAAGCTCCTCTTCAGTGCAATGCAGAAGACCTCTTTCTTATGTGTATTTTTTTAGCTCGTCTAGATGTCATGGGCCGCGCTGTGATAGACTGATTTTCTATTTTTTTTAGACTGATTTTTGATAGCTAAAAAAGTTATCATCAACACTATCTAGACTTTCTCATGTATGGACATAAAATTATGATTTATGATAATAGTCAACCATTAAAGAGGAAAAGTATTTGAAAGGATGATTCAAATGTAATTGTTTGGATGGAATTTTTTTTATTTCTTTCCTATAGAGAGTGAATTATAATATTTTAAAGATTTGATAAACTTATATACATACAAAACGTTTTCAACATCATTTTTAGAGTTAAATTTCAAGATTTCATTTATCTATACTAAACAGTAATATGATTATTAATGGTACAATTACTAAAGATTCAATTATGAATGTTAAATTGGACTAGAATTTAGAAATAGCTCTAGCTTTTTTTTTCCGACTGACACCATTTATTAGCTTCCTTGACTGAGATTAACAGGAAACATAACTAATAATCAAGTTATAGGTTTTTTTTTAAATGATACTCAAGTTATAATTATGAGAAGTAATAAACATAGCATGAAACATAATACAGTAGCTAACTTACTATGCCTATACCACACTTACAAACCAAGTGCTTATGGGAATCTAAATAATGGCTACAACGTCAAATTTAAAATGGAACTAGAGGATGCCCCGGGCGTACGCCCGGGTTGTTGTTGTAAAACTGTACTTGGTTATGGTAAATATCTGACAATATATTTTGTTCAAATGTTGTTTATTTGTGTATACTATGTTATAAGAGTAAACATTATTTGGATATGACATTAATATATTTTAGACAAACCCCAATGTCTATACTTGAAAAGCAAAAACATAAAGCTACAATATCTTTAGACTTTATTGAAATCACAACGATATTTATACTCATAGTGCAGTAGCAAGAACTATAATTTTACATATGCAGGGGAGGAGGCAAAGCTGATCTAGTAAAAATACATGAACGGAACCTAACCAAGCTATCTCTTTCTCCGACGCCGGGATTTGTCCAGACATCTTTGTCTTATCTTTAGTGATCCGAACTCTGCTTCTTCTTTCCTTATTGCATCCTCCACGGCGGCAAAAACATACCCTAGTACGTCCAGTTTGGAGCATCTTCATGGCTTTCGATGTTGCCTTTTCTTTTTTCCTTTTTTTTCTTCATAAGTTTCTCCTGTGCTTTAAACTGCTCCAGCTGCTTCATCAATATATCTATGTTGTTAGCAAATGAACTGGTTAAGGAGATAAACCAAATGCTGCTAAAGTCACTGGTTGAAAGCGTACTCTGGAAGCTCCCAATCCTTGTTGGTAATGCAGAAAATAATTGTAGAGCTGGAAGATGTTCAAGCAAATCAGGAGTGTCCAAATCGTTGGTTCTCTGTATTTTAAAGCATGTGGTTAGTGATTCCTAAAGTGAAAGAAATTTTTGAGAGATCATAATATATATTGCAAGTAGAAACTTACTGGGGGGTCAATCTCAACATCGTACTTCAAAACACGGAAACACTCTAATCTCTCCTCTAAGAATACATAAGAACGGACCCAAGCTGAGTAATCCCATGTTGACAAAAGAAAGATAAGTGAACCAAAAAGCTTCCTCTATACAAAGGATTCAAATGAAAATAAAACCACGCTAATACCATTTGGGCTGGAATCATCTTTAAAATGAGACATATTAAGCATATGACTCCAACTTCTGCTATAATTAATAACTTCTTCATGAAACGTTTGGTCCACTTCCCTCAAAGCACGGTGAATAACAATAAGAGTTTTCAGAGCAACCTGAAAACAAAATAAAGGGAATCAATGGCAAATACTAAACATAAAGCCAAAAACCCTTTATAAGAAGATAGAGAATCAACAACATTCATTTACCTCAGTTTTACAAACACGGCGTCGTTGCAGAAAACACCTACGATTTGGTCGAGGACCTCGAAAGTGTGCGGCTTGGCGGAGGAGGAAACGGCTTTGGAGGACATGGCTAGATCGAGGGAAAAATATTTCAGGGTTCAGCGATAAAGAGGTCCGCAGGTTCAGATGAGTTATTTGGCATGAATGAGCCAGGGATTTATAGCGAAGGAGAGTGGGAATTCCAACCGAAGCATCCATTAACTCGGAAACTTTATTGACAATCTGAGATGAGAAACGGAAGGGAAGAAGAGGAAGAGGATTCGTTTCACTGAGAGGCAAACACAACTGATTTGGAAGAAGAGTCGCGAGACTCCGAGGACGAAGAACACGAACAGTCACTCATGTGTGACGGATTGGGCTTCTACAATGGGCTTCGATGTTCTTTAGTTTGGTTTTTTTTTTTCGCCTGCTGACGTGGCAACGTGGGAGGGCTCAGGAGAATGCTGAACTGGGTGCCTTGAGAGGCCCCACACAGCTCCTTTAAAGTATTATAGATGTATAATAACGAATTTATATAGATTATTAAATAAAATAATCAGTTTTGATTTAATATATATATACTATAAATAATATAATTTACAAGTATACCTTAATTTTCGTGGGTTTAAAGCCTAATTTGAATTCAAAAGATTAACTAAAGTGAAAGAACAAAACAAAAACAAAAAAAACATAATTTGGTTGCTATATATAGCTATGGCTATCCAAACTTACAAATGTATTTTTGGGAATTTTATTAATGGTTTCAAAATCAAATTTAAATCTGAAATTTATACAAATATATATGTAATATAATTATATATTAAATCATAGAATTTACATATAAGTATAACTTTTGGGTTCAAGTCATAATTTGAAATCAAAGATTACCAAGTAAAAAGAAGAAAAACATAACTAGATTGCCAAACTTATTTCACATTGAATAAAAAATCAAGTGTATTTTTGGAATGTACTTAATGACATCCCATGTAGATATGAACATCATTTGTTATATATAATATACCTGGTAAATTCATGAGCTGAAACATAAAGAAGATAAAAATGAATTGAGAAATATAAAGGTAGTAGGAAAGATTCGAAAAAAAAATCATTTGTTTCCAATGGCAATGGATCGTCAGGTGAATCCAATTAACAATCTTCCCTATCGGCTATCAAGACTACCAATGTCCATCACCAAAGATATCGACGGTAATGACGTCATCACGTGCATTATCAACAAAGCCGACTTCAAAGAGATGGTCATTAGACTGACCAGCCATCCCCCATACAAATTTCATTATTGGCATCAACCTCCACCACAGCCTCGCCCTCCACAGCCTCGCCCTCAACAGCATCGCCGCCGGGGCCGTCCCATCGGTAGCAAGGGTCGTAAGCGAAAGAACATTGCCGTCCCCATTATGACAAACGCCGTGACCACCACCACCTCCACAGCTGAAATACCCAACACTCCACCACCCTCGCCACCGACGTCGTTGCCTCCAATGCCGCCTTCACCGTCCCCTTTGCCACCGTCTCCGTTGGTGCCGCCTTCTCCCCAAGAGGAAGAGTCTATGGATGCTTCGGTGGCTGCTTGTATGACTGAAGACAATTCCAACCAGGAGCATTTGTCTGCATGCCTTCCTCTGATTCCAACAAGTGAAGCGGATCAACAACAACAGAAGGACATTAATCCACCAACATCATTGAAAATTCTACCAACAATAACTCAAGACGGGTTTAGTTTTCCCAATGATCTATCATTGGAGAATGTTACACCACAAGCTCTAGAGACTTCACCGCCCTCAACTCTACCCGGGCTCAGTTTGGCCGACGATCTACCGTTGGAGAATGTTCCACCACCAGTTCCAACAACTTTACCAACAGAGAATCTCTACTGGACCCAGTTTGCGAATAATATACCATTGGAAGACATTCCATCACCAGATCCGGAGATTTTACCCTCCGGAGATCTACATTGGCCTGGATTTGATAATGAGCTGCCATTGGAGGACGTTTCACCACCGCTTTTGGCGAGTTTACCGTCCGAGGATACAGACTTGCCCCAGTTCACAAATGGTCAACCATTGGAGAGCATTCCACCACCAGTTCCGACGAGTTTACCGTCCGAGAATCTAGACTTGCCCCAATTTTCGAATGGTGTACCATTGGAGAACATTCCACCACTGGAGGCTTTACCTTCGGAGAATCTAGACTGGCTCGATTTTCCGGCTGAGCTACCGTCGGAGAACATTCAACCACCTTTAGCGGCGACTTTCCCGTCCGAGAATCTTTACTTGCCCAGTTTTACGAATAGTGTATCATGGGGGAGCGTTCCATCACCAATTATGGCGACTTTACCGTCCGAGAATCTTAACTGGCCAAGTTTTACGAACAATGTACCATGGGAGAGCGTTCCACCACCTGTTCAACCGACTTTACCGTCCGAGAATCTCTACAGGCCCCAGTTTGCGAATAATCTACCATTGGAGAACGTTCCAACAACTTTGTCGACCGAGAATCTTTACTGGTCTGAATTTCCGAACGAGAGCTTGATGTTGTCTCCTCCAAACTTTCTGGCTGAGCCCGAGACCTCCCCTGCCTTGATGCTGTCTGCAAACAGCTGTATGCTGTCGTTGCCCACGACGGGGCTGGTTAATCACCTGAATTAAGGGTTTTGTTTTTCTTTTTACCGTTTGTTGTTTTTCCGTTTCTATAAACTTTTGCTTCTTTTGTGGTTTTTTTTCTGTTGTGATCTTGTTTCTGTTGTGATGTTTCGTTTTTCTATCTTTACTTTAAGTGATCAGTCTTTGTGTTTCTTACCTGGTGTCCTACTTTTGAATACCCCCAATCACCTGTTCCTATATGTTCGTGTACTTTCAAGGGCCCCACGAGATCTCCAATGACAGAGACCCATGCGAGCGAGAATGTTCTACAATCGTTAAAAAGATCATTGATTTCTTAACCTGTCATCTAAAAAACTATTTCTGCCTTTCAGAACAGAAGAGAAGAAAATATTGCTCACTTTGTTTATTCTCTTTTATAAGTGTTGAGAAATGTTATTTTTTTCTCTAAATCACATGAAAAATCGCAAAAAGCTTTCATGATCTGAAAACTGCTGAGTCATAACAGAGTAAGATTTAATTCCAATCATGGAAATCGATTCCAACGGAAAGAAAAAAACAAAAGGAGAAAGGAGAGTACTTTGACTTGGTGTGAGAGAGAGAGAGAGAGATCTCTCTTTGATTAGACAAAATATTGACGAATAAGATGGTTTCAATCCCTAACACTAGCAGTAGCATCAGTTCACGCCAAGATTCATCATTTCTGCTCCTCAGTTGGCTTTGGAGCTGCTGCTTCCTTGATCTCATTTGCAGATTCATCCTGGATCCATGAATAAACGAAGATGAATCATCATACATTATCATACCAAAGCTAATACAATTGCTAATGTGTCAAGATAAAGAGAGAGAGAGGATATGCAACCTCCATGTCGGATGTCCAGAGAGTGAGATTGTCACGGAGAAGCTGCATGATTAAAGTGCTATCCTTGTAGGACTCTTCCCCTAGTGTGTCTAACTCAGCAATGGCAGCATCAAAAGCCTGATCATACACACAGAGACAATAACCATACTCACTTATCTTCCCATGAAAGTGTCGAAATAAATGTAAAACATAATAGAATGAAATCTTGATGAGCCGTTTTCTATTCATATACTGCCATATAAAGAGCTAAAGACGCTCTTTAAAACTAATCTAATTCACATTATACCAAAATCATTTACCCTAATACGGCGATAACTGATAGACAAATAGATATCAAAGACTGGCTTACCGTTTTAGCAAGGTTGCAGGCACGGTCAGGAGAATTGAGGATCTCGTAATAGAACACAGAGAAGTTCAATGCCAGACCAAGACGGATTGGGTGTGTTGGAGCGAGTCCCTTTGCATTTTCCTGTACAACGTAACACAACATAAAAGCCATAAACTTAACAACAGCAAGCTCAGAAAACAGTTCTATGGCAACAGTAGCTGATACATAATCAAAGTATCTACTCCAAAATCAGAATATAGTCAAAATCATAATCCAGAAAAGTAACCAAGGCTATTGAAAACTGTTACATGGAAAGACTAGACGATACAGAATCTAATCCACAATCAGAATATAACCTAAATCCAAGTCCAGGCAAGTAATTAAGGCTATTGAAACATATGGATATGAGAATCAACACGCTACGGATCCAATCAATCAATTGCTTGTTATCACAAGTTGGCATTTTCCTGCACAGCGTAACACAACAAAAATAGCCATAAACTTAACCATGGCAAAGATTAGACGATACAAATCTAAGTATCTAATCCAAACTCAGAATATAATCTAAATCCAAATCCAGCAAAGTAACCAAGGCTATTGAATACAGTTCCATGGAAAGCCTTAAACGATACAGAATCTAAGTCTAATCCACAATCAGAATATTGAAACAAATGGATATGAGAATCAACACAAGCTACGGATCCAATCAATCAATTGCTTGTACTCGTTGCCATATAACAAAAATCTAGCACAAGCTATGTTGAATTCACATTCATGAACAATTGCTTATTATCGTTGCAATAAAACAAAAATCTATCAGAAGATGTATGTTGAATCCACATCCATGAATAATTGTAAATGAAGCACAAAATCGAGTAGATATGAGATTAGGAATCCGAACCTGAGCAGACTCGTAGGCAGAGAGGGTGCTATCGGCGGCGGCTTCTCTCTCGGCGCCGATCTTAAACTCGGCCAAGTACCTGAAGTAATCGCCCTTCATCTTGAGGTAGAAGACCTTGGAATCCTCAGAAGCAGCGGAAGGGATGAGCGTGGATTCGAGCAGCTTGAGGATCCCGTCGCAGATCCCGGAAAGCTCCGACTCGATCTTCGTCTTGTAATCGCGGATCGTGTTGACGTGGTCAACGTTGCCGCGGCTCTCTTCCTTCTGCTCGATCGAGGAGATGATCCTCCACGAGGCACGGCGGGCGCCGATCACGTTCTTGTAAGCGACGGAGAGGAGGTTTCGCTCCTCGACGGTGATCTCGCTGCCATCTGCGGCGGCGGAGACTTTCTCCATGAACTCCACCATCTCTTCGTACCTCTCCGCCTGCTCAGCGAGCTTCGCCATGTATACATACTCTTCACGCGATGAAACAGCCATTATTTCTTCTTTCAAACGATGGATCCACAGGCAAAAAAAAGATGAGAAATGGTCTCAGATCGGAGAAAAAGGTTAAAAGAGAGGAGAGAGAGAGAGATGTGTGCTTAATGAGGGAGAAGGCGAAAGGAGTGGGGAGCGACGAATGCGTTTAGAGAGAGAAAAAAAAAAGGGCAAAAAGGAAAAGATGGAATCTGGACCGTTGGATTTAGTCATGAATTTTTATGCGGGAAAAGTTGGATTAAGAAAGTGAATCCTTGGAAATTTTTACCTACAAATGCCAATATTTTTTAGCTTAAGAGAAATAAAATCAAATGCCAATATTTAGACTGAAATAGATATCCTGTATATGTAAAGGGTTGGTAAATTCATGAATCACAAAGGTTATAATTAAGGGTACTTTGTAGAGTTGACAATGTTTTTTATCAACAAAACCCTAAGAAAATTGATGAATGAGTAGATAAAGTAGCATAAAAAGTAAAAATGTATAAGAATATAGCGTGTAAGATAGTTGATCTGTGGAACATTAATTTGTTAAAGGTTTACTTGAAAGTAATCTTATCAAATTTTGGATAAAATTTACGTGATTTTAATTTTTATACATGTTGTGTCCTCATTGTAACACAAACAAGTATTGTAAATTAGAGTGGATATCATGAAGAACTAAAGAAAAAATAAGAGAGTCACACAACTTCGAGGCAAATAACATTTATCTAGGTTTTTTTTTTATCAATCTTGTAAATTAATTTATACAAATCTTAAGAGTCTTTTATATGAACATAAAAAAACCTGACACTACTAAACTCAGGTGAATGGTTTTTTTTTTTGGTACGTGACTCAGGTGAATGTTACAACAGTCAACGAGACATTCATACAACACTAAAACAGTAAAACCTATAGCCAAAAAAAAAAATAGGGAATACAGTCTAAATTTTACGGCTAAAAATCCAAAATTACAGCCAAAATCACTCTTGCCCTTAATATTTCGAGTAAGTAAACAACGACGACACCAATATATTATATCACTAGACTATAGAATCTTATAAAAGTTTTAGTTATTACTTTTTGCTTGATTAAATGTCGTCGTCTATGTGAGGTCTTGTTAGGGTATACATATAAGGAATCAAGATCTATTTGTATTGATTACCACAAGGTCGACAACTCCGAATACAAACTGGAACACCGATAGAGAACTACAGATTACAATCTCATCGCAATTATAACGTAAGCTCTATAGATGATCTCAGGTCGATCATCTTCCTCCAAGCTCATCTCGCTTGAACAACCATAATCACAATACAATGCATAAAAAGATAATCGAATGAATAATCCACATCAGCTTATGAAGCTTATCAATACCTTCCCCAACAAAAAACAAGGTTGCCCTCAAGCTTGATGTGAAGAAACTGAAGTCATCACTTCCAAGATAAAAAGTGGCTGCCACTCTCTCCTACTGTCTGCAATTGTGACATAAGCAACCAGGAAGACATTCGCTGGATCAATGGCAGCTGAGACAAAAGTCAACACTTCTTCCTTCCCAAGAGCTTGTAACAACATTGGCCTCTATCTCTGACCATGTGACTGTATAACAAACTTTGTATCCCGTCACGCTTCGTTTATACTACATGCCATTCACTTCTTTTATCTTAGATGTTAGAATAAATATTTGTTTAGAGGCAAACTAAGAAAATCAAAATATAGTTAGTGAAACTCGTATAAAATCAAAATATAGTTAATGAACTTCGTATGCTCGAAGTATACTTTCGAATATGCATACGTAGAAGTTTTTTTTAGATTTTTTTTGGATATACATATTAAAAAGTGAGAAACGAGAGATCAAACTGGCAATAATAGAAGAGAACCACGCACAAACATACAATACATCTCCGACAGAACATGCGTTGTAAGCATGTCAGAGCCTCGGAGGATCCTAACAACAACATTATCAAACTTATAATATTAAGTCTTTATCCACCTCTCTGTAATTGTTTGTATAATGATTTCTAGTCGGTTAGTAAGAAACAAATGTCTCAGATTTTTTGTATTCTTTCGGTTTTCTTGGTTACTCATGTAAAACCCAAAATTCTGTTTAACATATACAACATGAAAATAAAAACCCAACCGTCCATGACTTTATTAAATCCAAAATGGAAGTAATACTCACTAACAACAATAACAAAACCTTAAGCCATTTTCTTGACTTAAGATTTGAATCCGAAAGATAAATAAGATCGTATTGAGTTCACACACGCACACACGTTTATATATATAGAAGAGAGATTTATTATATAGGCATATAGCACAAGTTTTGTTTAATTAGACGGCAAAAGCCTTTTGGGACTTGATTCTTCTCTTCCTAAGGCGCTCGGCGATGATGAAAGAGAGCTCGAGAGACTGCGAGGCGTTAAGGCGAGGGTCACAGTGCGTGTGGTAACGCGAGCCCAAGTCATCGAACGTGACCGTTCGTGAACCACCGATGCACTCGGTCACGTTCTGACCGGTCATCTCTAAGTGAATACCTCCCGGGTGGCTCCCTTCTTGCTCGTGCACGTCGAAGAACGCTCTCACTTCAGCCTAAACATTTTCGATCAATAAAAAGTAAAATTAATATACGATTATTAGCAATAATAGCCGACACATAAAAAGGACCAATTATTCTATTTTTAAATTTATAAAAATGGACATAGCAAATTGGTAGAGGACACGTTTTAGTTGGTATTTTCGTTTATTTAAAAGTACCACACCTAACTAAACACAAAAGCAGTTGTGTCAACTTTGGCCCAACCAAAGTCTGATTTTTGTAACCTTTCACTATCTCACCTACTACCACAAACATATACTAGTACTAATATTCGCTCCATTTTCAAAAAGATACTAAAATAATGTTATGTATTCAACCATTTTCATCATTTGCAATGATCAAAAGAACCTAGGCAGTAAAACATTTTGTAACTAATAAGGGAGAGTTTTAATGTTATAAAACGTACCAAGATGGAGTCAAAAGGACGAGTCTTGAGACCACAAGGAGCCTTAATGGTGTTTCCATGCATTGGATCACTGACCCAAGTCACAATCTGTCCAGCACGACGCACAGCTCTAATCAGATTAGGAAGCTTCACTCTCATGTTCTCTGCTCCCATTCTTGTGATGATCGTGATCCTTCCAGGCTTGTTATCAGCATTCAAGATCTCAATCAGCTTCACTAGCTCCTTTGGATCCATCTTATCACTCACCTATTCACACACACACACAAATATCTCTCAATTAGTTTCACTAGGGAACAAACCAAAACCTGACTAAAACCTGATACAAGATTGAGAAACAAACCTTGATTCCAAGAGGATTAGCAACACCTCTCAAGAACTCGACGTGTGCACCATCGAGCTGTCTGGTTCGCTCGCCGACCCAAATCATATGAGCAGAACAGTCGTAGTAGAGACCAGAGGTCGAGTCTAGCCTTGTCAGTGATTGTTCATAAGGCAAGAGCAAACATTCATGAGAAGTCCAGAAATCGGTTGATTGCATTATGGGATGATCGAGCGTTAGTCCAGCAGCGTGCATGAAACCGAGCGCTTCATCTACACGGTGAGCTAGTTCACGGTACCTGCCAAACCAAATCCAACGATTGTAAACACACATAAGAGAGAAAAAGGAAATTTCATAAATTTTCTCTCAAGAAGAACAAACAGAGTATGCTTAACAAACTATTAGGCTTATCAGATAACTGAAAACAGAGTAATCCTAAGGTTTTCTTTTTGCATCCACTCGATAGATTAGACCTAACCAGTTGATACCAAATAAAGTAGGTATTCATAAAGGGAACATTGCATCAAAATAGGCCAACACAAGCAATGACTAGAGCATTATAACATTGGAAACGCAAACGCAAAGAAACAATCAGGTCTTACACAAAGACAGTAAATTAGGCTAATATTAGCTGCTAAGACAATCGCTAACAATTTGCATCCACTAGAAAGTAGAAACTATCAATCAGGCTTCTTGCTTTGTGGCAATTAAGAGCTTAATCACAAAGATCCAAATTTTCTTGGGGGAAAATACTCTTTTTATAAGCATACCTGTCTCCTTGCTCACTTTTTTCAGTGAAATCAAGATTCCACTGAGTAACTCGCTGCATAGCAGCGTAACCACCAGTAGCAAAAGCTCTCAAAAGATTCAAAGTAGCTGCAGATTGACAATAAGCTCTAATCATCCTCTGTGGATCAGGAATCCTCGATTTCGAATCAAACGCATCTCCATTGATGTTATCTCCTCTGTAACTCGGCAACTTCACTCCGTCCCTCACCTCAAACGAATCCGATCTCGGCTTCGCAAATTGACCAGCCATTCTTCCAACCTAAACAAAAACAGAACACAAAACTTAAAATCTCACTAACCAATCCAAAACCCATGAATAAAAATCGATACTTTATCCCCTGAATCGATCCCAATCCAAAACCCATGAATAAAAATCGAAACTTTGTCCCTTGAATCGATCCCAATCCAAAACCCATGAATAAAAATCGAAACTTTATCCCCTGAATCGGTCCCAATCCAAAACCCATGAATAAAAATCGAAACTTTATCCCTCGAATCGATCCATTACCTTAACGACGGGGACTTGACCTCCGAACATCAACACAGCACCCATCTGGAGAAGAATCCTGAAGGTGTCACGAATGTTGTTTGCGTTGAATTCTTTGAAACTCTCTGCACAATCTCCTCCTTGTAACAGGAAAGCTTCACCCATTGCGGCTTGAGCTAACCGCTCTTCGAGCAATCTAGCTTCTCCGGCGAACACGATCGGAGGAAAAGCTTCGATCGTGTCGAGCACGGCTTCGAGCTCAGCTAGATCGGGATACTCAGGCTGCTGCAACGCCGTCTTCGTCTTCCAGCTCTCAGGTGCCCATTTCGATTTACCCACATTCACTGCGACGGGTTTCGTCACCGCCGTTGGAGTCGTTACCGCTGAAGGAGTTGGTGGTTTTGGGTCGATTTGCACGGCG